TTAGCCTCATCTTGAGAGAATTGTAAAGTGTCTGCCTGCTCGGCATAAGCCCCAGCTTGTAACAAAAAATCGTCCATAGTATCACTCTATAAAAATATACAATGGTACACTGGAAGAAAGAAATCCCTTAATGAAATATGTCCTATAAATATGCAAATCCAGCAGTCAATTAAATTCACATATGTGCATATACCACATATATAGCACAGTGTATGCTGGTGCATAGGTAGAGTGGGGACACAACTCTATTAAATTCACATATTAAATTCACATATGTGCATATACCACATATATAGCACAGTGTATGCCGGTGCATAGGTAGAGTGGGGACACCACTCTATTAAATTCACATATTAAATTCACATATGTGCATATACCACATATATAGCACAGTGTATGCCGGTGCATAGGTAGAGTGGGGACACCACTCTACCTATGCACCGGCATACACTGTGCTATATATGTGGTATATGCACATATGTGAATTTAATTGACTGCTGGATTTGCATATTTATAGGACATATTTCATTAAGGGATTTCTTTCTTCCAGTGTACCATTGTATATTTTTATAGAGTGATACTATGGACGATTTTTTGTTACAAGCTGGGGCTTATGCCGAGCAGGCAGACACTTTACAATTCTCTCAAGATGAGGCTAAGGCCATTTTATGGGAACAAACAGGTCTGGAGCTGCCCCACAATGTGTCTTCAAAAGATATCTATTTTCAATTATTACGCCTGCATAAGAAACAGATAGATTTGGACCTGCATGGCCTTTTTCTTTCTGACTACTATAAAGCCAAACGTATTCCGAGAGGCTTTAGAATCCTCAATATTCCCACTACAGGTCGGGGCAAAACAAAAGTCTGTAAAGATTGGCCCTCCGTGCTTAATAAAGCCTCTTTGGATTTGATGCTAATTATAATCCAGGATGTTAGAACGGACATGGAAGATGTTACAAAGAAGATTTCTGAATTAGAATTGGAACATGCCATAGTGTTAGCAACATCAGAAGGAGTTAAACTTTTGAACAAATTGAAAGGTGAGTTACTCACCTACAAGAATGAATTAATCAGATTTTAAAAACAGAAATTTGAACACGTCTGGCAGGACTACCAGGACCATCGTGTCTACAGATGGCTAATGGGTGATGGCAGACGCAGACTTGCGCGACAGCGTAAGAGGATTAGACGCCCTCAGGTACCAACAATTGACATCACATCAGGTGAATCTACATCTGAGAATGAGGCACAGGTGGAATCCAGTCCTTTTTTAGAAGATACGACGATCGGAACAACTACGAGAAGTCGTGGCAGAGGTGCAGAAGGAGGAGGAGGAGAACGAGGCAGGGAAGCAAAGGCAAGACCCATATTTCGGGGAAAACTGCCTCTACGGAAATAACTCCAATTTTCAATTTGTCCCAGAGACATTTGATTCCTCAGGAGATTGAAATACTTAATAGAGGTCTCTCCTTTGTACCTACAGCTATACCTAACCAATTTAAATGGAATACGGAACTTTTCAATTTTGGGAGACATATGCGTCTCAAATAATTTTTTCATAACTCCGATAAAGCATCTTCATCTTCTACTCCTCAAAATGAATCTCGTTTTAAGGTTAAGTCAAAATGTGATCCATATACCAATAAGGCATCAATTAAAACCTATTTGTCTACAGTTGACCATCTTACACAGGTTGCTATCAGCACTCATAGGTGTAAACATAAAAATATTACAGCACGACAGCTTCAATGCGTTACGAGTCTAGCTAATGACCACTCCATCATTATTCGACTGGCCGATAAGGGGGGCGGGATCATGATTATGGATTATACCTATTATTCAGATGAAATTAAACAACAATTGCAGAATACTACAACCTACCAGTCCTTACCGGGTGACCCTACGGATAGGATAAAGAAGAAGGTGGAAGCTATCCTTAAGAGGGGAGTAGAATCTGGTTGGATCGATATCCAATTGAGTGAATACCTTTTAAAACATCAACCTCAAACGCCTGTCTTGTATACTCTACCGAAGATCCACAAAGATCCGGCTAAACCTCCTGGAAGGCCCATCGTCTCGGCAATTGATGGACTGCTCGAACCAATAGCCAAATGGCTTGATTCGTTGTTTCAATCTCCTGTAATGGAGCTTAAGACCTGTATTAAGGACACACCCAGCCTCATTACCAGGGCCGGATTAACATAGGGGCTGATGGAGCTGCAGCTCCAGGCCCAGGCCCATGGAATAGGCCCATTGATTTAAAAAAAAAAAAAAAATTATTTTTTTTTTTTTACATTTTTTTTTTTTCACACACTACTCTTAGGGATTCCACCTGGCTTTTATTTTATTGGCACAGCCAGTATTTGAGGCTGCCTGGCTGGTGCAAATATTACAGTGATACTGGCAATACAAATGCTGGTATTTTTCTTAGTATAAACAAGAGATTACTATGCAATACCAGCACTGGCCAGTAGGGGTCGCTGTGTGTTGAGACAGGCAGGTATAGGAAGTTCCAGCATATGCCTCCCTGCCTATCTATACTCACTGATCTGCAGGGGTGCAGCTACAGAGAGTCCAGACAGCAACTTCCACCATGCAGAGACAGCAACAGCTCAGGGAAGTAAGGGATGGGGAAAGGCTGCAAGGAGACATGAGGACACTGAGACACTAAGGGACATTGGGAGACATTATGACACAGACACATGGGGACAAAGTGTCCCCATGTCTCCCAGTGTCACCATGTCTCCTAGCCAGTGTCCCTGGTGTCTCAGTGCCCCCTAATCTCCCAGTGCCCCGCAGTCTGCCAGTGTCTCACTGTCCCCATGTCTCCTAGTGCCTCCATGTCTCCCATTGCCTCAAGTGTCTCAATGTCCCCATGTCTCCAAGCTAGTGTCCCTAGTGTCTGTGGCCCTGGTGTCTTGTTGTCCCCATGTCTCCCAGTGCCCCCATGTCTCAATGTCCCCATGTCCCCCACCCATCGTCTCTAGTGTCTGTGTCCCTGGTGTCTGTGTCCCCATGTCTTCAAGTGTCCCCTATTTTCCCAGTGTCCCCATGCGTCCCAGCCAGAGTCCCCTAGTCTCCCAGTGTCACTGGTGTCTCCGTGTCCCTAGGTCTCCCCGTGTCCCCAGGTCTTCCCGTCTTCCTAGTGACATGGGGACCCTGGGATACATGGGGACACAGGGAGACATGGGGCATTGAGACACTGTGATACATATGATCACTAGGGGACACTGGGAGACATGGGGCACTGAGACACTGATACATAGGAACACTGAGACCTGGAGTAATCGACACATGGGGGCACTGGGAGACATGGGGCCACTGTACAGCAGAATCTATATATCTATACAGCAGAATCAAACTAAGTAGTTTTTTGGTGATTTTACAGCATTTTCTCTTATGTCACTCCTTGTGATTTACATCATGTGATGTCACCCATACATATTTAATTATGCAAATTAGCAAGGCCGGTATGTTTTTCCAAGAAAGGTGGCAACCCTATCTACTTTTCACATACTCTTACTTAAGTATGGAAACTTAAAAGGGATGTATGGGAACAAAACTTGTGTGGACTGTCTGACAATGAATATAGTTAAAGAGACACTAGAGTCACCAGAACAACTACAGCTTATTGGATTTGTTCTGGTGAGTAGAATCATTACCGTCAGGCTTTTTGCTGTAAACACTGTCTTTTCAGAGAAAATGCAGTCTTTACATTACAGCCTAGTGATAGCCCATTGGCCATTCCTTAGATGGCTGTTAGAGATCCTACCTGGGTCATGGCTGCCTAAAATGCATCCAAACATTCAGTGTCTCCTCCCTCTGCATGCAGACACTTAACTTTCCTCATAGAGATTCATTGATTCAATTCATCTCTATGAGGAGATGCTGATTGGCCAGGGCTGTGTTTGAATCATGCTGGCTCTGCCCCTGATCTACCTCTTTGTCAGTCTCAGCCAATCCTATGGGGAAGCACTGTGATTGGATTAGGCCACCACTTCTAATGATGTCAGCAGACTGCTTGTTTTTCTGAGTCTAACAGCATGCAGAGTTACAGCTTCAGGCTTGAATACAGTAAGATTTTTCTATATTTATGGAGGCATGAGGGGCCCAGGGGGGCTAGATGGTGGTGTTAACACTATAGGGTCATGAATTAATGTTTGTGTTCCTGACCCTATAGTGATCCTTTAAGGTAATGCTGACGGTCTCTCTAACACTGTGGCATGTTCCCTTTCTTCAACACTCACTACATACAACTTTTCTCTGTCCCAGACTATATACCAGGAGCTTCTGCCTGCTAGTAAGAAGGTAAGGAGACAAGTGGACCAGCGAGTGCTAGGGGACAGTCCTTAGAAAGCATTGAGTGAGCGCATCATTAGATGCATTTATGCCAAGCTCAGGGTGCTGTCTGCATAGTATGCCCTTAGTTGGCCAGCTGCATGATTGGCAGGCAGCCTGACATGCATTCATACCAGGCTGGCATTCTAATTCTTTGGGCAGACATATGCTCTTTTTGGGCATGTTCGCCCCTTTTGGCAGGTTACGTGATTTGTGTCAGTGGCACACCCTTTTACCGTGCCCATTGACTTCTTGCTTGACTGGACACTGCTGTTAGGGGTTATGGATTTACTTGAAAGATGAAAACATAAATTGGTGAGAGATTAGCCTACGGTATGTGTTTTCTTATAGCTGCTGTTTTCTTTCTCTCCAGCACCATCTCCATAAGATACATGACGCTTGGGAGTGTTTTACTGTTTTTGGTCGATATGATTCTGTAATTAGGCCCGTCATAATTGTCAGCACCAGGCCCACTGGGCTCTTAATCTGGCCCTGGCTGGTACATCCATGGGGGCTGTTATGGCCCCTATGTATGCCAATGCGTACATGTATATATATGAACAACACTGGATTTTATCCAAATATGGTCAGTATATCCAAGGTTACTTTCGTTATATTGACGATTTGCTACTTGTTTGGAGTGGGAATATAATGGAGGCTATGGCAATGGTACAGTCTCTCAATCAGATGGAAGGCCCCATTAAATTTACGTCCAATATTAGCTCTACAGCAGTCCAATTTTTGGATTTAGAAATAGCTATTAAAGACCAGCGTCTGTCATATTGTCTGTACAAGAAACCCACAGATAGGAATACTATTATACATAGTACCAGTGCACAACCTGAGGCATTGAAAAGGTCTTTACCTAAAGCCCAATTCCTTAGAGTGATTCGTAATAACTCGGATATGGATGTAATGGAGGAACAACTAGGAGGGATGATGGAGAGATTCCTTGAAAGTGGCTATCGACGGAGCGACCTAGTGAGAGCATTGGAAGAGGCCAAGGCTGCCAGCTCTCCTAGAGTCAAGAATAGAGCCCCATTCTGTTAACTTCCATGATGCATCTCCAGAAGTTACGAAAATTATCAAGGATAATTGGACAATGGTGGCGTGTGATGAGACACTTCCCAAAGTCTTTAAGGAACCTCCTCTCATTTGCTATCGAAGGAATAAAAACTTAAGGGACCTTTTGGTACATATGGACCCTTCCAACAGTTATGAAAGGAGCATTGAAACACAGAGTCGTGGAAGTATTCGCTGTGTTGGATGTGTTACTTGTGGACATATGACGCCTTCACGTACTTTTCAACATCCACACAGTAATAAGGTGTTTCAAATACGATTCACGATCACTTGTAAGACTCCATATGTGATCTATAAGTTGTCTTGTCCATGTGGTCTTTCGTATATAGGCAAAACGGAAACCCCTCTGTGTGAGAGAATTAGGGGACACAGGTCCAGTATTAGGGTAACCTATCGTGATGGCACTTCTGATCAACCTGTGGCCAAACATTTCCTTTCTTTCCAACATCCTTTGTCAGCTCTTAAGTTTTTGGCTATTGACCACATCCCTCCACCTAAACGAGGAGGGGATAGAGGCAAACTTTTGTTGAACCGAGAGACATTCTGGATATACACATTAGACACTATAGCCCCTAAAGGCTTGAATGAAATGATTTCATATCATTCATTCATTTGAACCACTTGTAACTGTTGTTTTTAATGACTGTAGTTAGTATTTTATACAGCTATGTTTACATATTAGATGTACCATAAGTTGGTTTTCTTTATCCATAGTAATTAGGGTTTTTGAATTTCTGAGCCGCCTTTTCCTCAAAGTTAGTGTCAACTATCTGCTACAATGGATCATTTTTATTATATACAGTTGCACTTTGTGTACTAATAGTGAGGTTTTCTTCCTCTATAATATACGAAATAGCACTTTATTATTACCTCTTGTTTGTCTGATGCACTGTTTAGTACATCTGCAGAGATTATTGCACAAATCTATTTTGCACCTTGTGTAGTATATAAGCACTTGCACTTTATTCGTCTCTTTAGCATTTCTTTTGCACTTGTACTGCACTTTATTATCTTTTTATCATCCTTTGAGCACTTTTTAAGCATTTATATACATGGCTGCTCACTTTATACTTGGTCCATGGAGCGAGATTTAAGGACCAATTGTGTAATTTCACTTTGGGCTATTCACATAGTCACATTGGTTGATATGTCCATAAAGCACTCTTTACATTGTTCCGTCCTTTATTCTGCACTTTATTGTAGCCTGTAGCAGGCTCCCTGGTTGCCATGGAGTGCCGGTTTAGCTTCCGGTTTCCATGACAACGGATGTCACGTTGTCACGTTTGAGTGAGGCGGGGCTTAGACACACATGCGCAAAGGACGCTCTGGGACGCCGGCGGTCTCTGTAATTAATTACACTGGTGGGTAAGTTCATTTTCTTTGATTATGCCTGCTAATTATGTCAGCTAATTATTTTGCCTATTCATTTGGGTTTGTTGTGAGATATCATTATTGTTCCTGATGAAAGTCCCAGAGGAGGACTGAAACTTTGAGCTGTCTACAACATTTTTAACTTTTTTGAATTAAACTTCTGATGTTTTAACTCTTTCTAAACCCGTGAGTGCTGGTCATATTTGGTTTATGGATATATATATGTAATTTTATATGAACATACATATACACACTGTTATATTTTTAAGTGTATTTTAATATATATATATATATATATATATATATATATATATATATATATATATATATATATATATATATATATATATATATATATATATATATATATATATATATATATATATATACACACACATACATACATACATACATACATACATACATATATATACACATAAATAAAAAAATCAATTAATAAATAAATAATATTATCAATATTAATATTGATATCAAAATAAATTTAGAATGGTTTTATTTATATATCTCTCTCTCTCTATATATCTATATATACATGTATATATATATATATATACATATATATATCTTCATATATCTATACACTATATAGTATCTATCTATCTATAATATATATCTATCCATACCTAGAAAGTTATGGTTGGGAAAAAAGGGAATTAAAAACCTCTTCCACCTGAAGTCAGTGGATAGTCAATACACAGATCTGCACACCAACCAAGCCATAAGACCTACTTTTCCCACAGAAATCTCAAATTTGCAATGATATTACTACTGCAAGAGATTCTGGGTGGGCATATGCAATTTAGTTCAACAAAGAATGACATTTGCCTCATTATTCGATTTTAAACATGCATTCCTTGTAGTTTTACCACCATTATGGCATGCCGTTTGCAAAAGTAGATAACACAAGGCAATGCAAATGGGGTATGTCTAGACTTTTTTAGAAGCCACTTAATCACAAACACTGACCAAAGTTAGTGTTAATTTTTAAGGTTTTAATACTAAACAAGAGTCCCCAAGAACCCATCACCTTTGTACTGTTTGGACAAATGAGGACTGCATTCAGTCTACTACAGTGTCATTGCAGTTATACATTGGTATGGCTACAAGTAAGTGTTAAATTTCTGACTTAGCCATACCTCCAAGAAAGCTATGAGAAGCCAAGGACCCTCGTACTGTGCTAAAAGGCTCAGAAATGGTTTAACAGTATGGTTGGACACTACCAGAGGACTCGAGACATTATAGCCAATTCAATGAGATGAAATCGTTTTCGTGCCTACAGTGTTCCTTTAATAAAAATATGTGGTATTGAAGTTTTGAGCAGCCATTTATACTTTTAAAAGGATGTAGTCAGCCTAGAACAGGCTGTTTGCAGAGCAACCAGAAACCAGCTAACCTTAGCATGGCTCATCTCACAATCATGTGAACTACATTAGATAACCACAATTGAAATACGCTACCCTAATTAGAGCGTCAATCCTACTTTAGCAGAGTTATAGAACAAATGGTGTACACTATTCCTTTAAAAAAAACATACAGAGACAAAGTAGTATGAACTATGTAGAAATGGATAGATCACACTCCAAACATTAGCACTTAATTGGTAAGAAGCATTCGAGGTTTAATACTTCATATATCAGTTAACCTTCAAAAGTTTTTAATTAACATAGGGCAATATGGTTTGCACAAAAAAAATATGCAAGCCCTTTAAACTCAATAAACTCATGTTTACATATACCTATGGAAACTGATAGGAGTCTTGGTATAAAAGCAATAAAATACAATAAAATGCACAATCCCAGCACTGAAGACAGTTCACCATATAGAAGTTTCCAGCTATTTCCCATAGAAACGAAGGGTCCAACACTGTCAGATCAGGCTGCAGAGTGCTGCACGTGTTCTCAGTCAGTGCTCCTCGTGGACAGTGGATGAATTTGGTGTATTCAACAAGTTTTGCTTTAGGCTCAAGCCCCAGGTATCTGTTGGACCTAGCAGTAAAAAATATATTTATTTATTATAATATATATTACAAGTATTGCTATAATATATAAATATAGATATATATTGTTTTGCTTCTCTTTTTCCCTCTGTTGGTTACTTCTTCTCACTTGATCTGTGAACAAAATGCGTACTGCAAAATATTCTGTTGGGTGGAAGAAATTTGTCTGCAGTGAAAAACCACATGAACAAAACCCAAAACCCTAACCCAAATATTTCATTCCTGGGGGATTACAAATGTATATTACATGTCTTTTTATGTAGATACATCTCAAAGAAAGTGCAATAGGAGAGTGTAAACTTATACAGATTTTAATTTCATTTAATTAAGACTATGATCGGCTCGATCTATGATATTGCTGTTTAAACAGATTTTGATTTATCCATCTATATATCTATCTGGAGATATATTGCCAAACTTTATCTGTTAAAAAAACAACTTGTCAGTGAACGGCATCTAAGACACCCAACGTAAAGTGTAAGGAAATACAGTATTTCATTCTAGTCCGAAAGATTTTTTAAATTACTGTATTACTATTTTCATGTCTTGGGTCCTATCTGTTAGAGCCTGTGCCTCTTTTTTGTGTGGTGGGTTTGGAAAATGTCATCAATATTATAATCTCCCATCCACTGATCAGTGTACTATTTTTTTCCATATGTTTAAAGTGTAAATTCAATACAATGGTCAATACTGCCTTTCATAGTTTGTAGCCACTAAAACTCAAAGTGCCACTTGTCTCCATACATAGGACATTGTCTGAAAAACAATGTTGAATGCATCCACAATTAAGTCTCTGTCTTAGACCATTTAGTTCAGTCACTGTAATCGTCAGTGAGCTGCTTTTACTAAACAGAAACGAACACATGCTATTTAGTTGTTATAATTTTTTTTATATATAATTATATAATAATAGCTTAAACCACACATAGTAAGTGTACATAAACATCAGCACATATTTTTTTTTATGAGATGTAAGACAAGAGAGGTATAGCGCATTTTGAAGTAGTCGCTGTCTTGTGAGTAAGATAGATTATATGCACTAAGAGTAAATGGATCGTGAATGACTATAGAGTAACAGGAAATGAGAATCATATCGCAATCATAATATGGTTAACTTTAATATGGTTAACTAGCTGAAATGTCTGACTTCATTTGTGATAGTTAGTATAAGTCGGGAAAATAAAATTAAAAATAACAACAAGCTTGATCATGTAGTTATTTTCCCTGTTCGTTAGTTAAAACTACCGAACACGACCACCCCGCTGGCTCATTAACATCAAAGGAAACTGTGAATTAAGTGCCATTTGTCTACTCTCCGTGAAACTCACCCTGCCGCTGGGGAGTGAGACCGGTTGTCTCCCCTCCCTGCAGTATACACTGCCGATGGGGAGAGAGACCGGTTGTCTCCTCTTCCTGAAACTCACCCTGCCATTGAGGAGTGAGACCGGTCGTCTCCCTTCCCTGCAGGATACACTGTCGCTGGAGGGAGAGACCGGTTTTCTCCTCTCCCTGCAAGGTAAACTGCCGCTTGGGAGGGAGGATGATGCTCTCCTCTCCCTGTGACTCTGTCTGCCGCTGGGGAGAGAGACCAGTTATCTCCTCTCCCTGCAAAGTACACTGCCACTGGGGAGTGAGATTGGTTGTCTCGCCTCCCTGTAACACAGACTGCTGTTGGGGAGTGAGATTTTCTCCCTCCCTGCAGGATACACTGGCACTTGGGAGGGAGACCGGTTGCCTCCTCTCCCTGTAGGATGCTTTGCTGCTGGGGAGAGAGGCCAGTTGTCTCCACATCTCCTCTTCCTCCAAAACCCAGTGGCGAGGTCACTTTCGCCACAAAAAGCTACTTATGAACCAGGGGAAAGGTTTGTGGACTTGTTCAGTTTTTAGACTTCCCGAAAGAGGTCAAATTAACACTTCCATGGAAATCCCGAACCCCTGAAACGATCTGGGTGATTTTGGGATATATTAGCCCCCAGATCGGGGCTATCAGCAGATATGACTTTTGTGGGGTTTCCCAGGGGTTTAAAGTACTTTCGGGGTTTTGTGAAAATATGTGTTTTTTTGTGTTTGGAGATAATTGAGTTTAGTACAATGCTTGACTCAATTAGCTATTAAGTAAAGGGAAAGGTTTATTGTATTCTATGTGTCCTGGACCTGAGAGCCAATGTATCTACAGTATGTACTTTGTCCCTGTGCCCCCTCAGCTCCAGTGGGGAATGCCACTGGAATATGTTATTGTAAACCCCATTCATGAGGACTTGCATAAAAAGCCATTCGGTTGGCCTGAATAAACCATTGCTGTTGTACCCTTCTTCTAGTTCAGGCTGATGTTTGGGTATATGCCTGACTGCTGGGTAATACGTCTTGTATGCTGCATTCTAGCTGGAGACTATTCGTCTTGATACCCGAACTGCAAGTTATAATCACTTAGCTCTTAGCAGTTCGGGAGGAATCGAATATGAATGGATATCTGACATACCAGCCTTCATAACAGTACCAAATAAATAGATACCACTGGGTTAACAGACACTGTCATAGCATGTAAGCATACGTGTTAAAGCTTATTATTTGAGCAATACAGCTGCATCTAGTGTACCACAAGCAGTGTGGGATATTCTAGCCTGTAATACACTATTAAATGCCATAGAAGTGGCCGTAGAGTAGAACCTCTGGGGTTAATTCTAGCACTGTCTGTAGCGGAGGAGCAGGGGTTAAGTACCGTAGGAGCAGGGGTTAAGTAGGGGTTAATCTTTCCCCATTCACTATCCGTTCGGGTATATTCACATACCCTTTCCTTTCGTTTCCATACGAATAGTACATTTCCACGAATGGCTGTAACTGCCGAACAACGGTCTGCTGTGAGGTTTGAATCCCGTCGTTGCCACCAATTGTAGTGGAGGAGCAGGGGTTAATCCAAAGGCTCTCCGCTGGGAACAAAGATTCAGCATACAAAATCACAGGAACACAGCATAATCGACCTCCCCAAGGACTAGACGACACATAGTCTGGGAGTCAACTGTCAGCTTTAATCACAGGTCTGTTTTTATGCATTTCTCCCATGCAAGGGAGGTAACTTTCATAATTATTACAGTAGCCAATTGTAACCCGGTCACCTCCACTCACTCTCCTCCCCTTAGATTAGCCCTTAAACAAATTAGTGAAGACAAAGTTTCCCCCACTTTCTGGATGTCCCCTAAATACAGGGGGTACAGGGACAAATAAGGGGTCCCCTGGTAGGTCTGATCTGGGTGAGCAACATACTCGAAATTCACCCAGATCGGACCAGGGGTTCGGGAGTTACAGACAGTTACAGTTTTGACCGACCGCAGGGACTCAGTAGCCGAAAACAGTTCCATGAATTCTGGCCCTGCGGTCGGTCTATTTCAGTGAATTAAAAATACCGAATGACATAGCCATCCATGCGATTGCCAGCCTTTGCACGAATCCCCTCGTTTAGGGGAATCTATTTACCGAACGCCGGGGCGTTCGTGGGTTTGATTCGTGCTGTCGGAGCATGCTGGAGGTCTCAGCGGTACTTGGTTAGTCGAATGCCCGGTTTAAGTTCCAGGCGTTCAACAACCAAGTACCGCTGTTCGTGCGTAAGATGGCCGCCGACACGTGTTCGGTATGCGAAATGGCGGCCACACATGCAGGCACTTAATTCCCTCGCAACATTGTATCGGTCTGTTAATTAGCAACACACGACCACCCCGGGGTGGTCTCACGTTCGGTAGTTTCGGCCATTCGTCTAAAACAGCAATATAACACGAAAGTCTATTCGGTGAGTTATTCCCTTGGTGAAAAGTCTTTCATTCGCACAGAATAGTCAGTTATAGTGGCAGGGTTTGCCACAATGCTCCCCCAGAACCAAGCCAGCATACACAGTCTGATCCCAACGGAGAGTGCTCACAGATAATTTTTCCAGTTCTGTCTGTCGGGACAACCTGTCGGCATTACCATTTTGTTTTCCCGGGCGGTGCTGGATGGTGAAATCAAAGGGCTGCAGCGCCAAGCTCCATCGCAGCAGTCTAGCATTGTCCCCTGACAACCGGTTTAGCCACACCAACGGGTTGTGATCTGTGAGCAAGGCAAATTGTTGTCCATATAAGTAGGGCTGGAGTTTCTTGAGGGCCCACACTACCGCCAGGCATTCCTTCTCGATGGCGGCATAGCTTACTTCCCTGGGTAGTAATTTCTGACTTAAGTAAGCGATGGGATGTTCGCCACCATCGGCCCCGACCTGGCTCAGCACTGCTCCCAATCCAAACATAGAAGTGTCTGTATGAACGAGAAAGCGTTTAGTTGGATCGGGAGCGGCAAGTACAGTTGCATGAATCAGGGCAGTTTTCAGTTCTTGGAATGCTTTCTCCCACTCTGGGCTCCAGGTAACTACTTTGGGCAGGTTCTTCTTGGTGAGATCAGTGAGGGGCTTTGCTAGGGTGCTATAACTGGGTACAAATTTACGGTAGTAACCGGCGGTCCCTAGGAAAGCTAAAACTTGGGTTTTCGTGCGAGGGGTCGGCCACTTAGCAACGGCCTCTATCTTAGCAGGTTCTGGCTTTTGTTGCCCACTGCCCACCCGGTGGCCCAAGTACTGCACCTCCGCCATCCCTACATGGCACTTGCTGGGTTTCAACGTGAGACCTGCCTCCCTAATGCGGTCGAGGATGGCTCCTATATGAGTTAAATGTTCGTCCCAGGAGTTACTAAAGATTGCTATATCGTCTAAATAGGCGCAAGCGTACTCCTGGGACCCGTCCAGTAGCCGATCTACCATCCGCTGAAAGGTAGCCGGCGCATTCTTCATTCCGAATGGCATTACCTTAAATTGGTATAGCCCAAACGGAGTGACGAATGCGGACTTTGGGATGGCATCCTCGGCTAGTGGGATCTGCCAGTATCCTTTGCACAAGTCTATTGTGGTGAGATACTGGCCCCGGGCCATTGTATCTAGGAGCTCATCGATTCTAGGCATAGGGTAGGCATCAGAGATCGTTTTATCGTTAAGTTTCCGGTAGTCGATGCAGAAGCGGGTGATTCCGTCCTGCTTCGGTACCAGTACTACCGGAGAGGCCCATGGGCTATCTGAGTGTTCTATCACTCCTAGCTGTAGCATTTCATCAATCTCCTTCCGCATATGATCTTTCACAGATTCGGGTATGCGGTAAGGAGTTTGCCGAAGAGGGTGTTGCCCTGGGGTTTCTACCCTGTGGGTAGCCAGGGGGGTATATCCGGGCCGATTGGAAAATGTATCCCCTTTCTCTCGGATCAGCTCTAGTATTTGAGCTCGCTCTCTATTACTCAGCCTGTCTCCTAGCTGTACTTCCCCTAATTCTGTGTCAGGCCACCTTTTTCTAGCACCTTGTCTGGGTCCTCGGCTGCTGAAGCACATATGGCAGTTACTTCCTCTGTCCGCTCGTGGTACGGCTTTAACATGTTAACGTGGAGCATGCGCCTACTGCCCGCTCCCGTACATGGGGCAATTATATAAGTGGTGTCACATACCTGTTCAACCACTTTATAAGGGCCCTGCCATGAGGCCTGCAGTTTGTCATTTTGGACCAGTTTTAGGATTAGCACCTTTTGCCCTATTTGAAAACTGCGGTCCCTGGCTCCCCTATTGTACCATCTGCGCTGTCGTTGTTGGGCCGCCTGGAGATTAGACCGTACCGTCTGGATTAGGGTCTCCAAGCGCTCCCTGAATTCTAGCACATATGGGACGATAGGGGTACCATTACTCGTGACAGTCCCTTCCCAGTGTTCCCTAATGAGGTCCAAGGGACCCCGCACTCTCCTTCCGAATAGTAATTCGAATGGCGAGAACCCTGTGGACTCCTGGGGTACCTCTCGGTAAGCGAAGAGCAGATGGGGAAGAAACCTTTCCCAGTCCTTCTGGGTATCCATGAACGTACGGAGCATTTGCTTTAATGTTCCGTTGAAACGTTCACAGAGCCCATTGGACTGAGGGTGATACGCTGAGTTTACAATAGGTTTCACCCCACATGTTCTCCATAACTGGTGAGTGACTTCAGCCGTGAATTGGGTACCCCGATCTGAGATAATCTCCTTAGGAAACCCCATTCGGGAGAATATCCGGATCAGGGCATCCACTATAGTTTCGGCATGGATATTACTTAGGGCCACTGCCTCTGGGTACCGGGTAGCGTAATCTACTACGGTTAGGATATACTTTTTCCCAGACGGACTGGGTTTCGCTAGGGGTCCAATTATGTCAACTGCCACTCTACTAAAGGGCTCCTCTATTATGGGAAGGGAGTGCATTTTTGCCTTGTAACGGTCCCCTCTCTTCCCTACCCTCTGGCACGTATCGCAAGTTTGGCAATACTGCCGGATATCTTTAGACACCCCTGGCCAAAAGAAGTTTTGGGTCAAACAGTGTTTCGTCCTACTGACGCTTAGGTGCCCGGACAATGGGATGTCGTGGGCAATGCGCAATAACTCCTGTCTGTACTTTTTGGGTACTACTAATTGCATGAGGGTCATGGGTACAGATCCTGCTACTACCTTCTCGGCGTGCCGGTACAGTAATCCTTTCTCCCAAGCATATCTCTCCCCCTCTAATCCCGCCTGATTCTCCGTAACCCTATCCCGGTATACCTGCAAAGACAGGTCGGTGACTACTTCAGTGCCAAATTCTAAGGGGGGAGCCCAGGGGACAAAAGGGGGGTAGGACTGTTGCTTACCTGAGCCTCAGAGTGTTCCGACGATGCGGTAGTGCGAGCTTGCTGCCGTGTTACCATGGGTAGTGCTTCCTGCGCTGGGTGCTGAGAAACAAAAGCGGAGGTCAGCTCCCCCAAGTCGTTGCCCAGGATGACATCAGCGGGTAGATCCTGCATGAGGCCCACTTCCACATTCCCTGACCCCGCTCCCCAATCCAAATGTACCTTGGCAGTAGGAATTTTGTAAATAGCTCCCCCTGCCACCCGAACGGCCACATATTCTCCAGTTAGCTGGTTCTTGGGAACTAGGTGATTGCGCACCAGAGTTATAGTGGCCCCAGAGTCGCGCAGACCCTGTAAGCGCTTTCCCTCTACGTGCACCCCTTGGCGGTGTCCCTGCCGGTTGTCTGCAGCCGCTTGTATGGGGTTGACCTCATGGAGCGTGCCCAACGGTTCTTCATTGGACCCAGCCCAGAGGTGGGTTTGTCGGGGCTCACTCTGGTAGCAGTGTACCGCTGCCCAGTGTGCAGGGGAGTTGGTTGGTGTATTCCACGTGGGGCGGCTTTTGTTCCTGGGACAGTCTCTCTGTATGTGGCCCTGCTGGTTACATGTGTGGCACCTGATGAACGAGCGGGCATTGTTGTACCGGGGAGGGGTTTGGTAGTTCCCCCCGCCCGGACGCAGTGATGGGGTGGGGGTAACAGTGGGAGGTGCGGTAGCAGTACCCGCGGTGGGCCGTGACTGTGTCCGCTGTGCCCTTCTGGCATCTTGATATTCATCTGCTAACCTGGCTGCATCGGTTAAGGTGCGTGGCTTCCGGTCTCGCAGCCAGTTTTGTAAATCCGAGGTTAATCCCTGGAAGAATTGTTCTAGCAGCAGTAACTGGAGCATATCCTCCACTGTGGTTGCTTGCGCTGCTTGTACCCATCCTTTGCCCACCCTAGTTAAGCGGTGTGCCCACTCCATGTGGGTGTCTCTCTCCGTCTTCCGGCTGTCTCTGAACCGCTGCCGGTACGCCTCTGGGGTGATGGCATACCTGGTCAGGATCGCCTGCCTTACTTTCTGGTAATCCCTGCTGTCCTCATCTGGCATGGTGCGGTAGGCTTCTGCTGCCCGGCCTGCTAGCTTGCCCACCAGCAGGGGTACCTGGTCAGCAGCGTCAATCTCATGTAGCTGGCATAACTTCTCAAAGTCATGCAGGTAGCCATCAATGTCCTCGGTTTCCACATAACTTTTAAAAGCATGGTACGGAATTTTAGGCTTTCCTTGTACTATGTGTGGTGGTGTTGGGGACCCCTCTCTGGACCTCCAGTCTGCCTGCTGCTTTGCCATAATATATTGGTGAACATCTGCCATAATCCTTTCCAAGGTGTCTATGGGAGGTGTATCTGGGAAAAAGGCTAGTCTGCTTTGGAGTTCCCTTCCAAATTCAGTTTGTGTGCTGTCCATAAGAGGTGCTGCAGCAGCTACCCGGTCTCCCTCCATGAGTTCAGCAATAAGGGTAGCTTTGGCTTTATTGCTGGCAATAATTCCCTTTGCTTCCAATAGCTCTTTTAGAGTGGCCCGTTTCAAGCTGGTATAATCTTTCCCCATTCACTATCCGTTCGGGTATATTCACATACCCTTTCCTTTCGTTTCCATACGAATAGTACATTTCCACGAATGGCTGTAACTGCCGAACAACGGTCTGCTGTGAGGTTTGAATCCCGTCGCTTGCCACCAATTGTAGTGGAGGAGCAGGGGTTAATCCAAAGGCTCTCCGCTGGGAACAAAGATTCAGCATACAAAATCACAGGAACACAGCATAATCCACCTCCCCAAGGACTAGACGACACATAGTCTGGGAGTCAACTGTCAGCTTTAATCACAGGTCTGTTTTTATGCATTTCTCCCATGCAAGGGAGGTAACTTTCATAATTATTACAGTAGCCAATTGTAACCCGTTCACCTCCCCTCACTCTCCTCCCCTTAGATTAGCCCTTAAACAAATTAGTGAAGACAAAGTTTTCCCCACTTTCTGGATGTCCCCTTAATACAGGGGGTACAGGGACAAATAAGGGGTCCCCTGGTAGGTCTGATCTGGGTGAGCAACATACTCGAAATTCACCCAGATCGGACCAGGGGTTCGGGAGTTACAGACAGTTAAAGATTTGACCGACCGCAGGGACTCAGTAGCCGAAAACAGTTCCATGAATTCTGGCCCTGCGGTCGGTCTATTTCAGTGAATTAAAAATACCGAATGACATAGCCATCCATGCGATTGCCAGCCTTTGCACGAATCCCCTCGTTTAGGGGAATCTATCTACCGAACGTCGGGGCGTTCGTGGGTTTGATTCGTGCTGTCTTAGCATGCTGGAGGTCTCAGCGGTACTTGGTTAGTCGAATGCCCGGTTTGAGTTCCAGGCATTCGACAACCAAGTACCGCTGTTCATGCGTAAGATGGCCGCCGACACGTGTTCAGTATGCGAAATGGCGGCCACACATACAGGCACTTAATTCCCTCGCAACATTGTATCGGTCTGTTAATTAGCAACACACGACCACCCCGGGGTGGTCTCACGTTCGGTAGTTTCGGCCATTCGTCTAAAACAGCAATATAACACGAAAGTCTATTCGGTGAGTTATTCCCTTGGTGAAAAGTCTTTCATTCGCACAGAATAGTCAGTTATAGTGGCAGGGTTTGCCACAATGTCACCATACCCCAAACTATTAAATTAAAAGATGAAAACAAAACAACATGAATAAAATCAAAAAAGAGGCAGGTATACATCTGTTTTTGGTTGAGGAGATGGTGATGCATGTATCAGGATTGTAGCAAGAATCAGCCAATTCCCTTAGGTAAAAGGTAGAGTTCCTGTAAAAGGGTCTGGCAGTATGACCACAGAGCGCTTCTCTTGTGTTGCGATCTTGCGGGCCGACCATTCTATTCCGAGCCCGGGCACTCACAGTAACCAAGCTTTTCCTTGGGGAGACTCAGAAGTTCTGTATGTTGGTTGCTGCTCTCGGCAGGCATTTCTCCTCATGTGTGGTCGCTGCTTTATGGAACAGCGCCTAGTGCTGCATGGTCCGGGCCGCCGGCTAGATGGCCAATTAGCAACACTGTCCATTCAGCTCGCATCTACCCCATGGATTGAAGAATCCATGTTTTTTTGCCCCACCCCCCCCACCATCCATGTCTCTGTTCCCCTCCCTTTCATGTCTTTTCTCCCCACTTCTTCCATGTCATGGATGTAATTTGTATTGTATGCAGTGTATGTATTGAATACATTGTGTGTGTATGTAGTGTATGCAGTGTCTGTGTTTGTGTAGTGGAACTACTGTAGTGTTTGTGTGGTGGATGCAGTATGTCTAGTGGATGCAGTGTCTGTGTAGTGGATGTGCATGTAGTGTTGGATAAGTGCTGGGAAGTGAGCCGTTTAATATAAATTGGGCTTAACCATCCTCCCTGCCTCTTACCTGTGGCCTGGAAGGGGAGGGACAGTGTGTAGGAATGTGATAGTATGGGGGGGCAGTGTGTAGGAAGGTGACAGTACAGCAGGGCGGTGTATAGGAAGGTGACAGTGTGGGGGAACAACATGCCCTCACTGACAGTCATTGTCTCACACACTGTTTAACACACATGTTCACTGACAGAGACACGCTGACACAAACACACTCTCAGAGACACATGCACTCACTGACATACACACACTCACACATTCACTGACACTGTCAGGTCCCCTGCCCCCGCACCCCTTGCGGCGACCTTACTTACCTCATCACAGCGAGCAGCGTCATCTGGTCCCTGTCTCCACACTGGCAGTGTATCTGACACTGCACACTCTAGAGCAGCTTCCTTATATGTGTGCTGTACCCGGTCATGTGACCTGGCACACAGTGATGACCTCAGAGACCACAAGGAAGGGAAGAAACTCCTCCCACGTGTTGTGGTTAACACTAATTGGAGATTAACCAATAAAACATACCCTGTGGGTTTGAATGAAACAACCCAGAGACAAATATAAATTATATATATATATATATATATATATATATATACACACACACACACACAATATCCACTTATAACTTACTATAAGCATATTACACCCTGTTCCAAATTATTATGCAAATTATATTTTTAAATAATTGATGTAAATAACAGTCAGCATAATTCTCATGTTATCAACTATTAAAAGTACAATTCAAATTTTACTGAACAAACCTCCTAATGATAACAGTATTTTTTTTAAACATAAAATACTTACAATGCACTGTTCCAAATTCTTACACACAGTACGTTTCAAAACACTTTATAGGTTGTAAAGAACTGAAAATTGTCATTTGTTGTGTTTGCAGCATATTTACTGAACTCAGAAGCTTTCAAATTTCAATAAACTTATAACAGCATTTTAACTTTTTAAACATTTTAACAGGTCACGTTACATTTTAACATAGGATCCCTTATTTGATAGCAGCTTCACAAGTCTTGCATCCATTAAATTTGTAATTTTGTGGACAGCTTCTGTTTAAATTTGTTTGCAAGATGTCAGAATAGCCTCCCAGAGCTGCAGATTGGATGTAAACTGCCTCCCACCCTCATAGATCTTTTGCTTGAGGATGCTCCAAAGGTTCTCAATAGGATTGAGGTCAGGGGAGTATGGAGGCCACACCAAGACTTTCTCTCCTTTTATCCCCAAAGCAGCCACTGATGCAGAGGTATTCTTTGCAGCATGAGATGGTGCATTGTCATGCATGAAGATGATTTTATTACGGAAAGCATAGTTCTTCCTTCTGTACCAGGAAAGAAAGTGGTCAGTCAGAAACTCCACATACTTTGCAGAGGTCATCTTTACACCTTCGGGGACGTCGCAGCCTTGTTGGAACAGAGTGGCTGTCCACCAACCATCACTTCTCCATCCATCTGGACCATCCAGGGTTGTACAGCACTCATCAGTGAACAGGAGTGTTTGAAAATTAGTCTTCATGTATTTTTCTGCCCAATGCAGCTGTTTCTGCTTTTGAGCATTGGTAAGTGGTAGCCAAATAGAAGGTTTATGCACAGTTGCAAGACTCTGGAGGACTCTAGACCTTGATGTCCGTGGGACTCCAGAGGCACCAGCAGCTTCAAATATCTGTTTGCTGCTATGTAATGGTATTTCAGCAGCTGCTCTCTTGATCCGATGCATGAATCTGGCAGAAATCTTCCTCAATGTGCCTTTATCCGCACAAACCCGTCTGTGCTCTGAATCAGCCACAAATCTCTTAATAGTGCGTGATCACTCTTAAGTTTTCGTGAAATATCTAATGTTTTTATACTTTGTCCAAGGCATTGAACTATTTCACTCTTTTTGGCAGCAGAGAGATCCTTTTTCTTCCCCATATTGCATGAAAATGGTGCTCTGCTTAATAATGTGGAACACCCTCCTTTAGTAGATTTTCCTTAAATTGGGCTCACCTGGCAATCTAATTATCACAGGTGTCCGAGATTGTTTTCAATTATCAAAATAGCCCTGAGACACAATGCCATCCATGAGTTAAACTGAAAAACAAAATATTTAATCTTTGTGACACTTAAATAGAATTTGCATAATAATTTGGAACAGGGTGTAATCATATATAAATAGTACTAAGTTAATAAAATAGAATATTCATGGATAAAATATCAATGAAGAAATGTCATCTTATTTACTAACGTTAGTGGAATATGTGTAATAGACATACATAAATAATATCACTATGTGCTACACACAAGAAAACCAGACAGGATTACCAATGACAGATAACACGAAAGTAATTCATTTTACTTTCTAAAAACTAACGGAGTCTTACAAATTTCCATTGTAAGGAAGGGTGCAATTAAGGCTATAGGTGTCAAATTCTAAATTTACAACCGCAAATGCAGACGCTCTGATTGGAAAAACCAAGGAAAATGCGTTGAAGTGACATGTCTTGGATGGATGATTATCCATAAAAGATAACCAAGATGACTTCAAACGCATTATGAAATTCAGTTAACCCATTATAGAAAAAGGAATTTTAGGTGATGTAATTGCGCTATCTACTGACCAAAATCTAGATGATAGTCTGTAGGAAAGACACGCCCACCGTTCTCTACTTGTCACTATCAACTAGTGACGTTTAGAGAACTTCTCCTTTAAAAATTAAGGACAAAGGAGAGAAAGAACACTCAAGACTTACACTCTTAGACTCTCACACTCAGACTCACTCAGACTCAGATGCACTCTCACTCTGAGGATGGACGCACATCTAACATCTAAGCTCTGACATCTGGAGCCAAACCTGGACACACCTAATTCTTTGTATCTTTTCCAACTAACACAACTTAAGAACTCTAAAAAGTTTTCTATTTTGATACAATTCTCTCATCATACTTGCATTCAAAATGGGACATATCTACAACCTAACTGGTAATTATGCTGGTTTTATTTAATCTAAGTAAATTAAATTAATTGATTTTACTAAAAGGCAGAATATACTTGAATAAAAGCTGGTGATTCCAACATTTTAAGGAGTCATGATTCGTTAATAATATATAGAATTCGTAATTCCATTCCTGCAGGTGGACCAATGAACTCTATATTACTTTTAACTTTAAAAATAGAATACCAGACAATTATCCAGGTATATTAGCTAACATAATTTAGAAATAGTAATCTTAATTAGGAAAGTTAAAATTCTGCAAACATAAAATCTGATTAGAATTATTCTTGTTGGATGGATATAGGAATGGCCAATGATCAAGTATGAGAAATATTGTAGTCAGGGCCGGACTGGCCCACCGGGATACCGGGAAATTTCCCGGTGGGCCGTTGGCACCTGGGGCCCCGGTCTCATTAAGCGAAGCGCAGGGGAGGGGGAGCAGAGACACAACAGCCAGCTCCCCTTGCGGCTGCAAGAACAGCCAGCAAACCCTGCGGCCGCCAAAGGAGCTCCCCACAGGTAGAAACTGTGCATGTGTGTGTGTGTCTGTGTCATTTGTGTGTGTGTCTGTCATGGTGTGTGAGTGTCTGTCTGTGTCAGCAATGTGTGTCTGTGTCATTGTTTGTGTCTCTGTGTCATGGTGTGTGTGTCACTGTCTGTCATGGTGTGTGTGTCATGGCGTCTGTCTGTGTCATGCAATATGTGTCTATGTCATGGTGTGTGTGTGTCTGTCATGTAATGTGTGTGTCATGGTGTGTGTGTGTGTGTTTGTCTGTGTCATGTAATGTGTGTCTGTCTGTGTCACGGTGTGTGTGTGTGTCTGTGTCACGGTCTCTCTGTGTTGTGGTGTGTGTGTCTGTGTGTCACGGTCTGTCTGTGTTATGGTGTGTGTGTGTGTCAAGGTGTGTGTGTCTTTTTTAAGGTGTGTGTCTGTCATGTGTGTGTGTCTGTCTGTGTCATGGTGTGTCTGTCATGGTGTGTGTGTGTTTCTGTCTGTGTCACGGTCTGTCTGTGTCATGGTATGTGTGTGTGTATGTGTGTTTTTACTCACTTTTTTTTTCCCCACGTCATGCTGGTCTCCCCTCGCCCTGCCTCTACGGCTGAGATCATCAAGCTTGATGATCTCAGCCAATCCGCACTGACACAGGAAGCACCTCTAGTGACCGTCTGAGTGTCTGTCACTAGGAAGCAATGTAAACACTGCCTTTTCTCTTAAAAGTCAGTGTTTACATTGAAAAGCCTGCAGGGACAGGCTATAGACACCAGTACCACTACATTAAGCTGTGTGTGTGCGCGCGCTTGCTTGTGTGTTTGTGTGTGTGTGTGTGCCTGCTACTGAGTGAGCTTGTGTTTTTATGTCAATAACCTTATGTATGAGGCTGTGTATCAATCAGCTTGTGTCAGTGAGATTGTCTGTGTATGCATGTGAGTATGCTTACTGTATAATTAAAAATTTTACTCTGAAAGGACCAATATTTTATATTGGAAAAAGATATATATATATATATATATATAGATATATATATATATATATATATATATATATAATATTGACAGAAATAGCACTCCAAGGACTAATATAAAATATAACTTTTATTACCTCCACTAAAACAACACAAGGTCAACGTTTCAGCTTGATCCCCTCAAGCTTTCGTCAGGACATCTCCTGACGAAAGCTTGAGGGGATCAAGCTGAAACGTTAACCTTGTGTTGTTTTAGTGGAGGTACTAAAAGTTATATTTTATATTAGTCCTTGGAGTGCTATCTCTGGCAATATTTTTTGCATTTTTGGCTGACAAGCACCGGGGATTGAATATTGAATTGGTGGAGTGCAAGATCCGTTTGGTTATATATATATATATATATATATATATATATATATATATATCTCAATCATCTAGGGTTGCAAGACATAGCCTTACATATTACATGCGACAATATATGGCGCAATGACTTATGGGGCTGGCATAGATTTTTTTTCCAGGGCTGCTTTGGAATACCCAGTCCGGCCCTGATTGTAGTTGTAAAATTGCAATATAATAGGATATCTTGCCTATGAGAATTGTAGCCAGCAGTGAAAGAGTTAATTCAGTGTGATTTGACTGTCAGCCAATGTTTTTATTGCTTTACGCTGTGCTGCTGTGAGATGCTGTGTTCTGGGTTAAATTGATTTCAAAGTAAAGTGTCCTGTCGTAAATCTTTTTGAGAACTGCATACATGTCGATATAACTTGTTATTTAGCTGTCTATATTGTGTTAAACCACTGCCATATTGTATACTTATGTTATACCTAAATATTCAGTGATATTATCACGCATGCTACATTTATTATTATTATTGTCCCAATAAATTATATATATGTATAATTAATTTGTGATTAATGTGTGAGATAAAATCTTCTGATGAAA